ACTGCCTATCGCTCTGAGTCAAGAGGGAGTTTGGTGTGTAATGAACTTTGGGCTACGGAGCACAGCATCAGTCTACTTCACCTCACTCTGAGCTCATCTGGGACAGCAAGAGAGAACGAGAGAGAGAGTGGGAAAGAGAGAGAGATGAATAATGGCTGAGTGCTGGAGTCTCTGTGGTGGTTATTAAGTCCAGTCCTGGATGGGATGGAGCCATTCTTGTAAGATCTGATGCTGGAGTGGGATTGGTGGGGGAATTGGATGAGGTTTGAGAGGTTATGGGTTTTTACAAAAGGGAAACACCATCAGACAGTCTTGACAACCTCCCATAAAAAGTACACCAGCTATCGAGTGTTTGGGGATCGACTGCATCGCCAAAAGTTTGTAGACACCTGCTCATCCAGCGTTTCTTCTAGAATCAAGAGTATTATGAGTGATTTTGGCCCTCTTTGCTGCAGTAGCAGCCTCTACCTTTCTGGGCAGGCTTTACACTAGATGTTGGAACATTGCTGTGAGGATTTGATTGCATTCAGCCACAAGAGTATTAGTGAGGTCAGGTACTGATGTTGGGTTATTAGCTCTGAATAACTCCCTCATCCCAAAGGTGCTGGATGGAGCTCCATCACTCCAGAGAACGTAAACCCACTGCTCGACAGCCCAATGCTGAGGGGACTTAGTAACCCTCTGTTTGCTGCTTGGCATTGGGCATGGAGACCTTAGGTCCAAGTTGCTCCATTCTATTGGTCACTGCTTTTCTACAGAGATGACACAAGCTGTTGGCGCAACAGAATGACTGTAAAACAAAGACATGCACTGCCGCAAGATTTGAATTCCCTAATTTTCTATGAACTTTGAATTATTATTTTGACCAGACAAGGGTTTTAATTTGGTGGTCATGATAAGCTTTTTCCAGCAAAATAATGGTATTCACTAGTTAATAGAAACCCTATTATTAATATAGTTTTTAAATATAGTTTTACATGTGTTCCCTGTAAGTCAAAATTGCCTATTGTGATAAATATGTTGGTGTGGTGATAGGGTTTGGAGACCCTCTTGTCACTGGGGTGGTACCCTTGATGGTACATCTCAGCACCTTTAGTCAGGGAACATAATTGTACCATAATCCACTGAAATATGTATCGACTCCAAAAGTTGTGTTGACTCCACACACCCTGTCTCATCTCCAGGCTTTTTATTTTATTTTTCTGTTTTAAAACTTTAGATTATGAAAAGGTATAAATATGTACTTTTCACCTGGAAAAAACACATTTAAGGTACACAGTTGGACATTAAAACCACTGTTGTACCTTTGAGGAAACATTTACATTGTTTGTACCTTGATGAACAAAAAATGTACCTGCACAGAACCTTTATTTCTAACAGTGTAGGGGGTCAAAGATAGACTTAGCCCCAAACCACAGAATACCTTAACAGAACATTGACAAGACCCTCCTGATGGCCGTATTCATCAAGACTACACATATTGTAAACAGAGAAAACTCATTTGGAAACTCATTTGGAAAATTTAGGCAATTAGATCCACAGTTTGAAGTACCTTGCTGTACACTGAGTCTGCATGCCTGTGTTTCTTATTGCCTATTTAGCCAATAATGTGCTACACTATATCTTCTTGGCCATGGAAGTGTTCCATTCGTGAGGGTTTTTTTTTTTTTTTCCATGGTGTGAAAACATAGCTGAAATAATATTTCTGAGTGATCTCTCCACACAATCTATGTGAAGTGTGTTTATCTTGGAAACAAGAGTTTTGAGAACCTCAGCAATTGCTTTGAGAGGAGAATCAATTCTGCAGCAGATTCTCTTTCTGGCTGACTGTTTATTTGTTTGTTTATTTGTTTAATTTTCTCTGTCTACAACTCTGCTGCACTGGAAGTGGCAGTCAACCCGATCAAACAAAGACATGTCCTTATATGTGCACACAAACACCACACACACTGCTAGCTTTTACTGCCACACCTATGGGATTTCTGATAGTATGTTAGCGCTAAACTAACACTCAGATCACCAAAGGTGTACTTTAATACCAGAGGTAAATGGGGTCTATATGACTTGCTATTAGAACCTGAGAGGCATTTATTGACACATGCACAGATTAAATGTAGCACTTCTTTGGAATTATACTTGATAGTTCGTCTTCATTTATAAGATAAGCCTCAGAAAGTCTCTTTCTAGAGGAGAGCACCACTGATTGCGGTGCCCTTCACTAGAAGGAGCAATGATGAAACGCAATGAAAGATAAAACTCTTTGCAATCCTACAGACACTCACAATGCACACAAACTCTCACACATACATCAAACTGCTGATTGGAACAATTTGGAACTCGAAAGGCGTATTCATTTTTTGTGCCTCAGTGGAAGCATTTTACAAATGCTAACAAGAAACAAATGGTTTTCATTTGAGGAATGAGGAACTCATCTCTTGGTGGAATTTAATATCAAGACAGATAATGGAGTATCATTGTTTGGGCTCAGCATAACTGTAAACAATAAAATTCATTTTAAAAATAGGTTTGAGGATGGAAAAGCAACGAGAGATGCGAATGAATTGTGCACTGGGTTGCATATTTAGAAAGTAAACAGTTTTGTGCCACTTGTTGATGATAACAATCTCATTATCCTTTTAATTTTAATTAAAGCTTCTCCACAGTAGCATAAGTCAGACAACAACACCAAAAGGCTTTGTTCAGAAAGCCTGTCTAGGATGCCGCCTTGCAGCGCTGGCCATTTTCATTGTCATTATTCTCCCAAACAGTGTTTAGTTTGATATACTGATATCGTTCATAACATCATGCTCAGCAGAGACTCATTCAGCACACGGGTATTTGGGTATCCATTCATCAAAAACACATCTGATGGGACTCTGTCACAGCAATGAATGCATTTACATGCATCAATAATCCGATCATAACTGGATTTTTGCTGTTATCTGATTATTCAAATGGTCATGTAAACAGCACACTCCAATTTCTTCAATCCGAGTAAGGTCTAGATTAAGAAATCCGATAAAGAGAGCTGGATTTTAGCTCAGTAATCAGGTTTCTCAGTGCAAAATAAGTGCGAAGTAAGCAAGCAGCGTCACCGCGAGATGCAGCAAAACACTTTTAGAGTGATGCTGAAACCAACTACATGCTTGATGAAATTAAGAATTGAAATATCCTTCATCTTCTAGGTGAGGTATGTTCATATTTTCAGGTAAAGTGGTGCGAAAAAACGGCACGGCATAAAGTTTGAGTTTTACATTAAGTTCTTGTCACATCTTCTTCTGTGAGTTTATTGGCTGGTTGCAAAGCAGAAATCCGATTACTGCCTGACATATTTAGAACTGGAGTTTTTGCATTATCTGAGTAAACACGTTGATCAGATTACTGATAAAATCTGATTTTCTGCAGTTATCAGATTATTAAGTGCAACACTCAATGTTGAAGAAAATGGAGAAGAAGTTTAGCACTGCTGTTAACTCACTTCCAGAGTGGCACAATCCAACTCTATAGATCTACTAAGACTGAGACTGGTTTAGTTAAAACTCATTTTTACTTCAAAAAAATAGCAACCACCTGCACATTTCCCTCACAAGCTTTCATATTTGAGTATATTTCCTTGTAGCATAGTGATCTCTGGTGAACATGTCCATACCATTTTAATGGATACCAAAACGGTTTGGGGATGTAACCAAAGTATAACTTCATGTTTGTAAATAAAGTAGCAAGTTCCACCTTGTCATGTCTATGGAGACACAGTCAAGCCTTTTCTCTGTAATGCCCCCTTCCCAATTCCTTCGCACCACAGTTTGAATAGAAGTTGCAACACAATTAAATTTTAGTAGGTGACCATTACCATGTTAAAGAAAAGTGAGCGTTCTGGATCTCAGTAAGAGGTATTTTGATAGTAGCTTGTTAATAGTGCCTGGTTCTGATAGCAGATGCTGTGGTTTGAGGTTTGGGATGCTCAATGCAGAAGCGTTTTTTGTTGTATTTCAGCAAGTTTCAGCATCAGGCACTCTGCCCATAGATGTACACAGACTGTCTGAGGTAAACTGCATGCTAAAATCACCAAAGTTTTCCGAAGCTCATCTCTGGCTATCTATGCTTTCATGCACTGGTTTTATCAGTTTGATAGGAAGCAAATTATTGTTCAAGCTAAATGCTAGTAGCAATCAGTTGCATCTCTGCTCACCCGTAAGCATTAACTCTCAGAAACTGTCACTGGGGCAGTACCCCTCTTGTCACTGGGGTGGGACTCTTAAGGGTACATCTCAGTACCTTTAGTCAGGGAACATAACTGTACCATAATCCACTGAAACTATATTTACACAAAAAAAAGGTTCTTCTATGAGGATTCTTCAGGAAAGACAGTGGTTCTATATAGAACCATTAAGACTTAAAGAACTGTTTCCATGATTAAAGTGTTCTTTGCATGGTAAAACGTTTCTTCAGCTTGATGGACAACATGTTGTATACGGTTATATATAGAACCTTTTTGAAATGGATTTTATAGCACCAAGTAGGCTTCTTCTATCTTTATGGTATCAAGCTCTAATGATATAGGAACCCCACTTGGTGCTATATAGAACCATATACAACACATTCGCCATCAATCTGAAGAGCCATTTCACCATGACAAGAACCATTTAAGCATTCAAATGGTTCTTTGAGTGTTCTTCACATCTTGAAATAATATGAAAAAGAAAAGTATGTATTCTAAAATAAGTACACATGGGTCTTTGCTACTCTAAAATTATTAGAAAGTTCAGTTTTTTTAATATCATTAACTGTCATGTAATCTTGAAATATGGGAGTGCTGCAGTCCCCTCAGGACCCCCACTTGCTGCAAGTGTTTTTTTATGCTCCAAACATGTCTTACCTACATTTGAAGAAAACAGTAGAATCTGATTTTTTGTCTAGCTGTACATAATAAAGTGGACACCTCTGTGTGTGTGTGTGTGTGTGTGTGTGTGTGTGTGTGTGTGTGTGTGTGTGTTCTGCAGCCTCCATCGTGATTGGGAAGTGGTGGTGTGAGATGGAGCCGTGTTTGGAAGGAGAAGAGTGTAAGACACTGCCAGATAATTCAGGCTGGATGTGCTCCTCTGGAAACAAGATCAAGACCACCAGGGTGAGAGACACAAACACATGCACACACATATGCCCACATACATATACACACACCAGTGCAGACATACACTGCATATTCATCTACACACTTAAACACATACATACATATAAAACTGCACATGGACGTTACTCAAGTTTCAAGCAGTAAAGAAGGACGTTGTATTTTACAGCACTGTAGTAGAGTGGCACAGTATTTAAGACAGAAGAGTGTTCAACACAGACAAGCCTGTTCAGATTCCTGTTTTAAATGAAGTGTGGAGCTTTGAAGAAGAGAGAAATTCTGCATTACATCACATGTAAAATAAAAAGGAGCAAATGAGCTTAAGATCAAAAAATATTATTCAGTTATCATAAAAATGTGCAGCTTTGTAAATTAGGGGAAGAAAGGAAAGAAGAAAGAAAAAGGTCACAGAAAGACAAAAAAGAAAGATAAAAGAAAAGCACAAAGAAAGAAAGTAAGAAAGAAAGAAAGAAAAAGAAAGGAAGAAAGGAAGGAAGAAAGAAAGAAAGAAAGAAAGAAAGAAAGAAAGAAAGAAAGAAGCAAGGAAAGAAATGAAAGGGAAAAAAGAGAGAAAAGAAAAGGGAAGAAAAGAAAAAACAAAACAAAAAGAAAGAATCACTAACAGTCAGAAAAAGCAAGAATGGAAAGAAAGAAAGCGAGACAGACAGACAGAGAGAAGAAATGAAAGAGGGGTCAGTCATGGTGGTCCTCCTGCCCTGCTGTTTGCTGCTCTGCTAAAACTGCCTCTCGCTCTGCTAAAGTGAGCTGACTGCCTGGAGGTTCTCAGCAGTTCCTCAGGTAAGATTCATCCTGTCTCATTTTCCCAGGGTGCATTTCTCTTCCATGACTAGAAGAAAACAGCCAGACTGTTATGAACATTTTGTTGGCGATATAAATTTTCAGGGGCTAAAAACCAAACCAAGATCAGTTTTACAGTAACTCTTTCAGTAAAGAGTCCTGACACAGAGGACTGAATGACTGAGACCTGGTATAACCTTCCAGAAGGCGTCAACAAGCATGATCATTCTATTAAATAAAAATAACCTAAAAATTACATGTATTTTTCAGTTCCCAGAAATCGTTAGGCCTTTCTTTATCCCTGAAGGCATAGAAGGCCCTGAAGTTTCCCCACTGAAGCATGTAAATTAATAAAGCTCAGTTTTTTCTGCATAGTTTGTTGGCTAGTCTAACTTTGTTCAACTAATCTGAATGCTGTTGTGATTTGTTGCCCATTGTAGCCACCCACAGTACTATCATTTTGCAAATGTATACAGTGTTTACATGTTTGTTGGCCAAATTCTACTAGCTACTAACACTTACTAGCATGGTTATTGTAGTCAGTCTTGGCTGAACAAAATATTACCTCCATAATCTGATTCAAAGCCCAACTTCTGCTTGAAAACACATGCTTAGAAAAGTGAACCACCTGCTGTCGCGGGGTCTGAAATGCCCACGTAGAGACAATTTTCTAGCTTTTTACTCCATTTGTATTATGGAATAGAATTTATTTTTCCAGGTCGAACTTTGGCTAATAATTACCAAATCACACCTTTGATATTATTGGGGTATTTTTAATATTTGCAATCAAGTTGGCCGCCCCTTTAACGAGACATATATCAGAGCTTTATTAGTTCTATTGGTATTACTATCTGAACAATATAGTAGTTGGGCACTATGGAACTATAGCCACTGCTGCAGTTAGGAACAAGAGTGAATAATCAACAAGAAGGAAAGAAGAGTCATTATGCAGGCCTTGGATGACAAACTCCACTTCAGCAAGTTACAAAGTAAACCTGTTTTTTCTGGTAGTGTCGCTCTTTCAATTCAATATCAAGCCCTTCATGGCGTAACCCATGTCAGAGTGGGGAAAATGAACGAACCCTGCAATGCTGCAGCCCCCCGGGACTGGAGATTGCTCCACACTTTCTTACCAGTGTAAATTAGTAGTGAAGACCAAGCTCTGAATGAACATGAACACCTGCTATGTTTTCTCTCGTGCCTCCTTTCACAGAACACACAGCCATATTCTCCTTTTTAGCTCGTGAGGACAGCTGCGGGGGCACCGGTGCACGTCTCTCTGCTCCAGGTTAGTGCTCGTCTCTGGATTTGACTGCTTATTTAGGTCCACCTCTCATTAACCCCAATACTCTATAGAAATAATAATTACAGACCCACCGTGTGAGCTTGCGTGTGGTTTTGAGTGTGTATGTGTGTGTTTGTTTTCATGCATTTTAAGGGGAAAATTGAGCAAAAAAAAAAAACAGAGGGAACCTACAATGACCAGCAAAGTGGGCCTAATTTTATTCATATAACAAATAGAACATTATTATTACATAGTAACATATGTATTACATATATATAACACATATATTATTATTGTATGTAGATAATTATATAAGCATCTATAGATATAATACAGCATATTCTTACTACATGTCATCACTGTTGGAACAAAACCACATCTTGTGAAAAAGGAAGCTTTTTGGAAAAAACATTTTTAACTTTTAAAGGAAAGTTTAAGTGAATGGAAACTATTTATTCTTAAGTAATTTTGGAGGACTTTTATTGGTCCATTCATTATGAAATTTTGATACAATTTAAAGAGCAAATACTGGTTTTAAATTATGCCAAAAAAAAGAAAAATGACATAAATAGAGATACAAGTTGCTTACATATAAATAATACATATCGCTGTTGTTGGAAACCTCATATCTCCAAAATGAAAACTTTACAGGAGAAGGAAAAAACCTTCTTTACTTCTAATGTAAGTCAATAGAACCAGACTTTTTTCCAAGTCATTTTGGACTGTTCCTTTTGGTCTATTAATCATGAAATTTAAACACAATGTAAAGGACAACAGCCATTTTCAAATGATGTAAAAAAAAACTGAAAATCGACAAAAAGTGAAACATGAGGTTTTGTCCCAACAACAGCAATATGTAACATTTTTTTTTTTACAAAATCTGATTATATATGGGTACTTACATATACATTATACATATGGGACATAGATCCCCATTTCTTGGCATTTTCTAAAAATAAACCTGTGTGTATGTGTAAAATCCCCTGTCACTATAGATCTACGGTAACACACACATTACTGTAATATAGTAGAGTATGTTAATTATTGAACAAAGGCCAGTGTGCTAAGAAGCTAAGAGATGTGTTTGCTAATGTCATTTGTCATGTGCAGCCTAGAGCACAAGCTGTAGGTCTGTGCATTACTATTATTGTAATTTAGGTCACTCACACGCATATGCACTCAGGCTGTTTGTGATATAAGTGTGTAAAGCTGAGATTGGCATTTTACTTTCACTTGTTCCTCTTTGTTACTTCAAGGAGCACCAAGATTTCAATTTGCTAAACATATGTATATATCTTTGGGTAGAGCTTTCTTTTATAGTCGCTTAAGATCACTGTAGGTAGTAAGCAGGAAAAGTGACATACAAACTCCAATGCTGTGCAACTATTTGAGTAAAATTGGGGTAAGTACCCAGACAGTTTAAATAACTGCTCTGAAATGCGCAACCGGTTCTAGCTATTAAGGTGAAGATGGATATAGTGTAATTAAGCTGGAACATTAATCATAAAAAAATTTGTATGTAAATGGTAGTGACCCAATAAAACCACAGTAAGAATCATTTATTTCTTTTCCAGCCCAGATTCAGTTTTGTTCCTAGGTAACAGACAGGTGCATCAGATGGGATTAGTTTTCCATGGGGAGGTGGGGTCATGCCAGTTTACCACAGGATGTCTGTAATGTTTAAGACAAATTTGAGCTAGATAGAAAATCTCTGTATAAATGCCAGAGATGGGAGTGGCTACTCGATTCATGCACTGCATCCACCAGAAAAGAGTAGAACATGTGTTCAAACATTGATATTAAGCTGTATTTTGTTTAATCTAAAAATTTTCTAGCTTATTTAAGTGCAGTGCATCATTACCATCTCCCCTAGCTTGGGAATCCACAACAAATGGTCAGCTTTACCACATGGAACCCATTTCCGAAAAAGTTGGGATGCTGTGCAAAATATAAATAAAAACAGAATGCAATGATGTGCAAAACATTTAAACCTGTCTAAATGTGGCATCCATGATTTCTTAAAAGAATTTCTAATTTTGATTCATCAGACCACAGGACACATTTCCATTTCCCCTTAGTATATCTTAAATCAGCTCGAGCCCAGAGAAGGTGGCAGCATTTCTGGATCCTGTTTAAATATGGTTTCTTCTTTTCATTTTAGAGTTTTAACTTGCATGTGTGGATGCAGCGACAAACTGGGTTCACAGAGAATGGTTTTCGAAAGTGTTTCTGAGCCCATGGTGTGATTTCCACCACGGATTTGTATCTGTTTTAATGCAATGTTGCCTGATGCCCCGAAGATCACGGCCAGCCAGTATTGGTTTGCAGCTTTGTCTCTTGCATACAGAAATTTCTCCAGATTCTCTGAGTCTTTTAATGTTATTATGTACCGTAGATGATGAAAAGCAAGTTCTTTGTTATTTTACATTGAGGAATATTATTCTTGAATTGTTTCACTATTTGCCCACACAGTCTTTCACAGAGCGGTGAACCCTTCCCCATCTTTACTTAAGAAAGACTTAGCCTCTCTGAGATGCTCTTTTTATACATGTTACTAACCTTTTACCAATTAACCTAATTAGCTGTGAGATGGTCCACCAGGTGTTTTTTTAGCCTAACACACCTTTACCAGTCTTTTGTTGCCCCCATCCCAATGTTTTTGAAATGTGTTGCTGTCATCAATTTCAAAATAGGCATATATTTTTCAAAAAACAACATTTCTCAGTTTCAACAATTGACATGTTGTCTTTGTACAATGTTTGATAAATATACGGTTTTGCACATCACTGCATTCTGTTTCATTTACATTTTGCACTGCATCCCAATCTTTTTTGGAAACAGGATTCCAAAGTCAAATCATTTTTTCTGTAACTTGTTTTCAACTTACAGCAGTTTAGCCCCGCCCATTCACATTGAA